ATCAACACCCACACTTGAGATAGAGGACCAACTGCAGTGCCGTTGGATGCAGCCGCTTTGACAGAAACCACCAGTTGATTAAGAGGTAAGGTGAAGCTGGTGCAGGAAGCGATCATTCGCAGGCAATCTTTGGAGGGGAACACCACAGAGAAGTCAAAATCTGACAGCTGCACAACTTGCCAGTCCCAACCAGCCACATCCCAGATGCGAAGCCCTTCCAGCAGAGTTTGGGGGAGATCTTTTGGTCTTTGACAGAGACAATAGCCGCGTTGGACAGCGTAGGAGCCACCTCCCGAACAGGCAGGTCACCATCGAAGGCGAAGAAGGAGCAGCCAGGAAGACCCAGACCAAACTGGATGACCGCAGGAGGTTTCTGCCTATCCATGCAGTTAACCGTGAGGTGACCATCAGAGCGACAAATCAAGCAGAATGGTGGATTGGTGCATCGAGACTGAAAGTGGCCCGGTATGTGGCAAGCGAAGCAAGTAAGCGCTGAGGGGTTGCTGTGGGAGGAGGAGGAGGGGCGGGATTGTTGTTGCGACGGGGGAGGAGGAAGGATCCCATCCCCAGGAGCCGGACCAGGCGGCCGACGCGCCGGCCCCGCGAAGGATCGAGGCGGCGGACGAAAGCCAGGTCCGGCCCCAAAAGAGCGAGGAGGAGGGGGAGGTAGGGGCCGGGACGGGGCCGACGGGCCACGCCCAACACCCGGAGCCGGGAGGGAAGCCGAGGACGAAGACACCCCACCGCCAGAAGCCACCGCCGCCTCCCACGGATCCAACACCGGGGAAGGAGAGGGACCAGACCCAGAGCCCTGCAGGCCAGATCCAGTCACCCCCTCCTTCACTGGGTGCTGCTCCCGCTCCGGACCCGAAGCCCAGGCCTCGTGGGCACGAGCCGCCTGCTCACGTGCCGCATGCTCCGACTCCAGCCTGGAGCGTAGCGAGGCCTCAAGCTCCAAATCCAACGCGGAGGCGGGGGAGTCCTCGCGGCGCCGCTTGCTACCAGAAAGCGCCTCGCAAGAGGAACCCCTAGACTTGTCCATGGAGATCACCGCAGCAAAAGGAAGAAGGAGGGGTGGAGGTGGGGGGGATCTGATGATGCGACGGATGGGAAGACAATAGCGGCGCAAGTCGGCGGCAGAAGCAGGAAACCCTAGCAGGAGGGATACCGAGCCGCGAGGGATCCACATATAGCCCAAGCGAGCCGTGCCCCCTGGGCCCG